GACAGAAATATGTTCACTATACTTACTTACTTACTCCCGTTACTCCTCGTTGAGGAGCATAGGCCGCCCACTAACACTCTCCATCCAACCCTGTCCTGGACAATCCTTTCCAGCCCTTTCCAATTGTTATTGACCCATTTCATTTCTACTTCTATTTTCCGACGTGTTGTGTTCTATGGTCTTCCTCTTAACAGCTTCCCTTCACGATTCCAAGTGAGTGCTTGCCTCGTGATGCAGTTTGATGATTTGAGTAATGTATGTCCTATCCACTACTTCCAACGACTTTTCCTAATTTCTTCTTCAGCTAGAAGCTGGTTTGTTCTCTCCCACAGAAGGCTGTTACTGATGGAATCCGGCCAATGGATGTTGAGTATCTTGCGAAGACAACTATTTATAAATACTTGTACCTTCTTGATGATTGTTGTAGTAGTTCTACAAGTTTCAACTCCATACAGTAGTACTGCCTTGATTTTGGTAATGAAGATTCTCACTTTGATATTGGTTGTAAAACAATTGTTTTGAGTTCCATGTGTTCTTCAATTGTAGGAATGTGGCCCTTGCTTTGCTAATCCTCGCCTTTACGTCTACATCGATTATGCTTCCCAGGTATGTGAAGAATTCTACATCTTCCAGAGTTTCGCCATCAAGGGTGACTGGATTGCTGTTCTCTGTATTGAATTTGAAGACCTTGGTTTTCCCCTTGTGTATGTTGAGGCCTACTGATGCAGAGACTGTAGCTACACTGGCTGTCTTTATCTACATTTGTTCGTGTGTATGCGATAGAAGGGTTAGGTCATCTGCGAAGTCCAAATCGTCTAATTGGTTCTGAGCTGTCCATTGTATGCCGTGTTTTCCCTCAGATGTCGAGGTCTTCATAATCCAGCTGACCACCAGAAGAAAGAAGGAGGCGGAGAGTAGACCATCTTGTCTGACTACGGTCCTGACTTACTTACTGGATGTAATATGTCGGCCTTTTAAACTGTACTATACTATTCACCATACCGGTTAACAACTAATCAATTGTGACATTTAAAAAAAACATGAGAGAAGTGATTTACCTCAAAAATTAAAGTAGGATATTGTTGATACATTATTGATCAATAGAAGATTTAAACTAATAATCATCGGGTTACTAACTTAAAGCTATACCCAAAGAATTAAACCATTTTGTGACTATATAGCAATTATCCTGTGCTATTTTTCATTGTAACACTTGTAATCGTTTATGGGTATCGGTCAAATGGTTGATTAGTTCGATCTCTACCATCCTAGTTTATCGCTTATGTTAGTTCATAGGATAAGTTTCAATATCCAGGAGACAAGACGTGGATGTATGAGTTGGGTTTCACCTCCCAATGATTAACTTACTACTTTCATTAACTCATCACAGGATTATTTGAAGATGTATAAGTGTTATGATAATGGTTAGAATATTATAAATTTTAATTAAAATATTACAATTCAGTTGTATGTCAATGGTGAAATAAGCCCTTCACATGTGAAACTATAATTGACATAACACATGACTTTTCTTTAGAACGTATATACTACTATAAATGACAGAAATTATACATCTTTATGTACATATCCTTGTATATGTGTATGTATTACAGGAAAAGGTAACATGTATTGCATTGGTTTATTATCTTTATTATGTAATTTTATAAAAGTACAATTTGTTGTACTATTGTTAAGAAGAAAAAAAAAGTTCTCTTACAGTTGAAACTACTGTAGTGAACAAGAACACGAGAGGGGAAGGACAATCAGATGTACTGGGATATAAAATTATAAAACGCCTTATCATAATCTGAGAATCATACAGTAAATACTTCATTTGCAAACTAACAGTCCATCATCTCAGAATTTTCTGTTCTCGTTTTTTTCCTTTTCGATTTTCTACTGAAATAGATTCTATTGCTAACTATGGTTATATACTACTACTTATGTGTATATAAGTAGTAGCGCACATAACACTACATTTGATATAAAGTAATTGAAAGAAATGAATAAAATATTTGAAAAGATACTAAAGTAGCTGATGTACCATTGAGTCTGTTCATATTTAATTTGATTAAGCCCTTTTATTAACTTATTTAACGGATAGAGTCATTCGTACAATAACAACTTATCTTATATCATTGTATCTTTAATGTTGTTTCACTTGTATGAATACATATGCTTGAGCATTGCCTACTACGTACGCGTATACATTCATTCTGATAGCTTTACTAATTGTCGCCTAATTGATTCGATGATCCATTCACTTCATTATGTATATATATGTACATTTTATTACTTTTCATTGACTTGTTTATTCCACTCGCACGCTTACTCGCTTGCCTCCTTGCTTATTGGCTCTACTGTTCCATGTTTCTTTGGTATACCTGTAATTTTGGCCCTGGGTTTGAATCGTGGATGTGCACTGCTAAGGAATCCCATAATAAGATGAAACGGCCAGGTTTCCAACGGTGGTCTAACATCAATCGGTTTATGGTCTCAATTAAAAACTTAATAATCTCCTTAACCCTTATACTGGTAAGAATACAATTCTCTAATAGATGATATCAATAAACTTCTAATAGAGTTTTTTTCTCTGAGCTAGATCGTTTAATTGTGAAGCTCTCATCGTTATTCTGAACAACATCATCAAGCTTAAATATTGTTTGATTAGAAAATCATTATATCCATCAATCAATGTTACCAATGAGCTAATGATCTATATCTCAAATTAACCGGCTTCATGAATGATTCACTCAAAAAAAACATGTTGTAAAGGAAAATGAAGAAAGTGAGGGGACGACTTTTCAGCGACGCTAGACTGACTTTGAGAGTGACCACCTAATAACTAAAACCAAATGAAGATTACAAATTAATGTGAGGAATCCGAATGATGATTTACAGTTGATGATTAAGGTTAGGAATTAGATTTAGGGTCTTCATCACGAAATGACATCAGCTGAAATGCCAAAACTCTATTTATCCAAACGGATAAGTGAATTTCGCGCCAAAATCCAAGACCTGCTATCTTATACCTGATTGTTTTGTCCATAAATTAAAGTCTCACCGATTGTAATATACGAATTTTATGAAGATGATTAAATTTTATAGATTATTGCTTTTCGATCTCCCTAAACCCTCTATTGTAATAGTAATAATAATAATCATGTATTCACTAAAGCCTAATTTCGAATGATACTCTTTGAAGTTCCAGTAAAATGTTGTTATCCGTGAAGTTCAGTTATATTCTAAGTGAAGTAACTATTCAATGACAAAGAATGATAATATTAAAGAATCCAATAATAGGATGAAACTGTAGAGCCAGTGAAATGTCACTGAACCCTAGACAAATCATTCGGCAATTGGGTCAGTGAATATCGAACAAGTCATCGATCCTCATCAAGGGCAAGAATAACCAATGTGCATCAGGTAGTCGTATGCCATGGACTAGCGCATGCGGTGTTGGTCTGTCTATCTTCTCTGTACTCATTCTTACTAAAACACCTTTATAGTAACGTCCTTTGTGTTATACCGTCTTCAAAGCAGCCATGGTAATTTGGAACATCGAAGGGGTAATCCATGTTAGATGCTGACCGCGAAATGTGACTTCCAAGTTAGCTGGTTCATCATACCATTCCCGTCTAACTCGAATAGATTTGCAATCATTCGACATAGATCATCTACGTTAGTGATCTACAAAACAAATGACTAATGCTTTCTGATTTTCATCGACTATTTAACTAATGTCTATCTACAATATAATCTGTTTAACCTAAAAATATTCCTTAATTTTTCTAGTAGATCAATTGCCGTTATACTATGCTCATATTTTAAGCTAAATGCATAACTTTTGGTTTAATGTAACAATGATATTCACAAGGTATTATTTACTTTACGACTGCAATTGATCAGTCTCTCTCTTATTGGCATATGTGCATCCTGTGCGGATCACTTCGATATAGCTCTTCAAACAAAGATGGATAGTGGCTAGAAGTGGAATCCAGTTTGACTCATGTTTCGTCCTATTCCGGACTGGTCAGCTGAATGTCCCTGTATCTCAGAGTTGATGTTCACTCTGTGACTCAAACTCAGTACCGTTCACTTCAAACGCCATCGCATTATCCACTTATATACTGAGTTTTTGTAGCCAATTTCATGTGCAATAGGGTAAAGTTTAAATACACTTGGTGTTGATCACTTGTATCTTCTCATTGTTGTTAAGGTCTACAATTGATCAGTCTCTCTCTTATTTGCAGATGTGTATCCTGTGCGGATTGCCTCGAAATTGCATTAAATCACAAGCTTTATAAAAAAATGGATAGTGGTTAGAAGTGGGATCCAGTTTGACACGCGTTTCACAATTATTCTACAAAACAAAGTTGAGATATCAACATTTTACTCATTTTGAACCATTTAATGTTAATTTATCTCAGATTTCTAGTAGAATTGGATTATTTTTTCTTTAACAAAAATGCTCTGGTGCAGCCGAAAGTGGGGAGAGTCAGCTCTCCCTCTTGAATTGCTCTCACATGGCCACATGTATATAGCCTCTGCCAGGGAAGTCCTATTCATTCCTTTCTCGCGGCACTACTGTTGTTTACCAAGTTGAGAGGATGAAAACCGAATGTCCGAGGCTTTAACCGGGTTGGTGGACACGGTGAGTTCACCTAGGGGAGGTGGAAAACCCTGATTCCAAACCAATCGTGCACATAGGCTCTAATATCCCGAAGGAACGAATGGCGTATGAACCGATGACTAGTCACTGGCTACCATGGGACTGTATGTCCTTACGATGCTCCACTGACTTGTGGATTAGACTTTTAGGTTCAAGGTTCCGGTTGTGGCCCCTTAAGAAGACCACTTAATTCCGATTGGGAACCCAGGCAGTACCATAACTCACATACAAATCACGTGACTCGTGCGGCGCACATGAATTCGGTGCCCCTTTGTACCAATATTTATGTGTTCAAACAAATAAATAAATAAAATAATATTTTTTTATTGAGCTATTAATGTCACAACTTGATAACTATGTATAAGTGTATTTATTCAGTTTACTATAACAATTAATACACATGCAAAAATTAGTATTATTATTATTTACAAATGTAAGCACAAATTATGCACAAGAAAAATGCTAAAGTCATAATTCTTAAATAGAACCATGATAACTCACTAAATTTTGGTGGCAGTAGTATTAGTATTAGTAGTAGTGGTAGTATTAGTACCGGCAGAATAGTAGTGGTCCTAGTAGTGGTAGTGGTAGTATTAGTAGTAGTGGTCATAGTAGTGGTAATATTGATAGTAGTAATAGTAGTAGTTTTAGTATTGTTATCATTATCATTAAATTTAGATATTTCTTTGCCGATAAACAAAACTGTTTATATTCAAATCATGTAAATCTCATTGAGTTTAACTGTTTAATTGACTGATATAAAAGAAAAAAAAAGGAGAAAGGCACCAATTTCGAATGATTGATTCTGTCCATGTCCTCCTGTTCAATTGTTACAATGAATGAAAAGTTGTAAATTATGAACCATACATCTATAGATACATATAGATAGATAGATAAGTGGGTAGATAGGTAGAGAGAGAGTGAGAGAGAGATTACGTTACTTGAATGTAATCATTATATACAAACTATTATGTAAGTGTACTAGAGGTATGATTCGTTGACCTATGCTCCATTAGAAGTAACAGGCATAAGTAAAGTAAGTAAGTAACTAGAGGTATGATGAAATTGTAAAAACTTTTTGAAATATAGAAAGAATTTCAAAAACAAAACAAAAAGAAAAGAAGAAACCATTTGGAATTTCTTTCAACTACACATGGATATCAATGTGAAGAGAAGAAATTTAAACAAACAAACAAAGGAGACTGTAATTCAGTAGTATGTTTACTACTACTCATTTACAAATTTAAGTACTTTGTATAAGCTGCCTTAAATTTATATTCACATTTACAAACTAAAAGAAGTCTATATATTCATAAGTTATAATGTAAAGAAATAACAAAATCCTCCCCCCCCGGTATATTTACCACAGTATTTAAGTAGTTTAATGTTGATATTGACAATATGAAAGGTTAATAGTAAGTTTTACCAATGTAAATTGAATTGTGATTTAAGTTAGAATTGGTAACTGATACCTTTTCATAGTGTTTATGATGTTTTATATGATATTATTGATAGACCGGGATGGAAAAGGCTTTAATAGTTATATGAGTGTTTATATAATATTATAGATGAATTGAATTGAATTGTTCAGATATGTGTTATTGGTACCGACGACATAAGAAATAGATTATTGGCATCAATTTTACGTCCATTATGTTGTTGTCCAGGTAAACTTGTACCACTACCTCCACTTATGGCTGTACCATCTAATGGACCATTAGTAAATGATCCTGAATTAACTTGTAAACCTGATGTTCCAATAACTGAACCAACTGGAATAGGCATTGTATGATTTATATGAATACCAGTAGAATGATGACATTCAAGATTTGTTGATGGAGGTTGTGGAAGTAATCGATTATTAGAAATGTAATCATCTTGCCATGTTGTACAATTATTAACACCTAGATTTAATCCATTTGACAATTTACAATGACTATTACTATTCATCCAAACTTTTGATTGTCCTGTATTCCAATTCATTGTACCTGGATTTGGTAGTGATGGTGGTGGTGGTGGTGGTGGTGGTGAACGATTTGGTACAAGTACTCCAGTATGACTTAAAACACCAATAGATACTGCTCTTTGATGATGACATTTAGAATTTGTTCTATATGAACAATGAAATAAACGTTTTAAACATAATTGCCATGAATTCACTGTTTTACTAGACCATATCCAAAATCCTGATGTAATGCCAATAACAAGTGACATAAAATATTTTAACATAAACACTGCATATTCCGGTTGAACATTTACATATTCTGGTGGATTTAAATGTAATGTAATACCATGTTTACCTTTTATCATTTGATCATTTAATGATAATGTATGATCATGATCATGATCATCATGATCATGATTCATAAATAATGATCTTAATTGATCTAATTGATTTTGATGTGTTAAATCTTTCATATATGATAATGTAATACATGGACAATTATGTCCTTTATTCCATAAATCACGATAATATAATTCATAACAATAACATGCTATAACAATAGTTGCTGGGACAATATACAATACACTAAATATACCAATACGAATCATTAATTTCTCTAATTTATCAGTTTTTAAATGACTACGAGTTTGACATTTAATTTCATTACGTATTTTAAATAAAGCAATAAAACCAGCAAATAAAAAGATTGTACCTAAACTTAAATAAATACACATTGGAATAAGGATAAATATACGTAAATAATATAAATTAATTGAACCAACAGTACATAAACCACTAATTGGATCACCATCAATTGCTGATAAAATCAATATAATGATCGCTTTTGTACCAGGGATAAACCATGCAAAAAAATGATAGATCTAAAAAAAGAAAATCAATCAATAAAAAAAAAGAAAAAAAATTTATTATCAGAATGACTTTTTTGTGAAGATTTTAGTAAATTTCACAGATTGAAATCATGAGTCAATTGAAGCTAGAACACCATTGAAAACCTGAAAGCACTGGAGGGCCGTTTCGTCCTAGTATGGCACTGTTGAGGAGTCTCAGGTTTTCAATGATGGTCTAGCTTCAACTGACTCATGATTTCAACCTGTGAAAAAAAATTATTGTCAATTTTTATAGTTCAATATATCAATTTTAATCATTCAGATCATGAATTGATTGAAACTAGATCAATATGGAAAACTTGAAAGTCACAATTGATTGATCACTGAATGGTGATCAATGTCATGCGTGTCAAATCCTTATTTAGTTTCCTGTTGACTATCTCCAACCACCATCTAAAACTTGAAAGTATTAGATGGGCGTTTTGTCTTATTGTAGGATTCATCAGAAGTACATATTCACAATCCTGCTTGTGAGAATCAAACCCAGATGCCTTCAGGCTTTTGATACAAGTACTCCAGATCAATATGGAAAACTTGAAAGTACTAGATGGCCGTTTGGTTTTATTGTAGGATTCATCAGAAGTACGTATTCACAATCCTGCCTGTGGGAATCAAACTCAGGAGCCTTCAGTCTTGTACGTCGTCCAGTGTTTTCAGGTTCGCCATGTTGATTTAGCTTCAATAGAAATTACTACAATCTCTACAAAATCCCTTCAGATTGTGAATAGTCAATTTTTTTATGAAAAGTTCAGAAGAATTACACATCAAAATAAATTATTATGATGATTTGTATTTTATCACCAATTTGTTCTGTTCTACTTTATGGCTGTGAAACGTGGCCATTAAGAGTAGAAGATATTCGTAAGCTACTAACATTTGATCATAGATGTCTTAGAAATATTGTTTGCATCTTCTTGGATCACCAGGTAGGTAATGGTGAGGTTAGATAAATGATATTAGAGAATGATGGTAAATTAGTTGATGAGGATGTAAATCTTCATCGACTGAAGAGGTTGGGCCAAGTGTTACGTATCCCAGAACAACGATTACCACGACGCGCAATGCTGACTTGTGTAGGGGATGGTTGGAATAAAGTTAGCGGTGGCCAAATCAAAACGTGACATCGTTGCTTGAAGTCACTAACTTCTGGTCTGAGCCATGTTGGTTGATGCAAACTGCTTGGTTGGGGTCCGTGTGACTATCGTAATCAATGATTGGAGACTCTTGGTGACATGGATCAGAAACGATCACAATGCTGTAGATCTATACACTGTTTGTCTTCCGTAAATTATGAGATTAAAATTATTTTATACCTTTCTGTCTAAGAACTAATTCTCTCTTCCTGTACTGTGTCCTGATGTGCAATCTTCCTTTTATACATTACTGCCATTTTTATTGGCTTATCATTAACTTAGACTAAAAACTACAGACTAAGATAATTACCATTCTAAATCAAGTGTGCTAGTGATAACATATTAAAAATGTAAAAACCAGATGACAGTAAATCGTTAATAGTGGTTTATTGTTTGATTAAGATTATGAATCGACTGATGTTAGACCACCATTGAAAACCTGAAGACACTGGACGGTCGTCTGATCCTAGTATTTGACTCAGTAGTGCTCATCCACGACCCCACTCATGGTGTTCCAACCCAGGACTTTCGGTCTAGCGCGTGAACGCTTAACGTCTAGATCAATCATCTGGAATACAATGGTTTTAATGTTTAGCCTCAACTGATCCGCAAAATTGTGCGACTTGTCTCTACCTGATATGGATTAGCTCCACTGGTGACGGCTTCTTACTAGAACTCCGAGAATTCCCTCACGAAGCTGGTCATTAATGAGCACATGCTAATTATTTGTATGGGGTTTGAATATCGCGAGCAGAATCGTGGATACATATTTCTAAGTAATCCCACAATAAGACGGAACGACTGTCCATTACCTCCAGGTTATCAATGGTAGTCTAGCATTCATCGATTCATGATCTCAATCAATCTCAACAACTTCATACTGGTCTATTTTTTCTCAAATTATCATTAATATGATTACTATTTAGTCTTTATTTTGGTAAAAAATCTCGAATTAACCAAGTCATCTCAATGCAATCAAATGTACAGAATAAATATAAAATATAGAAATATATTTCTAGGATGCAGAAGATCTGGCCCTTCCATCACAAACGCAACAACAAATGCAGGATAAGACGAACAGCATAGTAGCAGCCTCAGCAGCAGTAGGTCTCAATATACACAAAGGGAAAAGCAAGATTCTCCGATACAACACAGCATGCACCAATCCAATTACATTAGACGGAGAAGATTTGAAAGATGAAAAACCTTTACATATTTTAGCAGCATCAGTGATGAACAGGGTGGATCTGATGCAGATGTGAAGGTGCGGGTCGGCAAATCAAGAGCAGCATATTTACAACTGAAGAACATCTGGAACTCAAACCAACTGTCAACCAACACCAAGGTCAGGATTTTCAATACAAATATCAAGACAGTTCTACTGTACGAGGCAGAAACCTGGACAACCACGAAAGCCATCATCCAGAAGAAACAAGTGTTTATTAACAGTTGTCTACACTAAATACTTCGGATCCGTTGACCAGACACTATCAGCAACAACCTACTATGAGAGAGAACAAACCAGATTCCACTGGAGGAAGAAATGAGGAAGAAGTGCTGGAAGTGGATAGGACACATATTGGGGAAAGCACACAAAGCAGTCCCTCATATGGAATCCTCAAGGCCAAAGGAGGAGGAGGAGAGGAAGACCAAAGAACACATTACTCGGAATAATGAAGACAGACATGAGAAAAATGAAGGAAAGTTGAATAGAACTAGAAAGGAAGGCAGAGTGGGACAGAGTAGGTTGTAGAATGCTCCATTAGGAGTAACAGGCATAGGTAAGTAAGTATAGCAATATATTGTGTTATTCATCTTTTTAAAAAAGAATCAGATTTATTTTCTGAACAGTCAGAGTTCCTTCCACGATATAAATTACCAAAAAAAAAGAAAAGAAAAGTTTGTTGTTATTACCTGAGAATATTTTGCAATGGCTTCAGTGCCCCATTTTAATCCAGCAGCTAAAAACCATGTTAATGTTAATATAATCCACCATATAGATGATGCCATACCAAATATATATGTTAATAAAAATACAATACTACATTGTATAGGTCCAGTTGTATTGAATCTAAGCATTAATCCATTACATGCAATCAATTCATGTCCTATACAAACTCTTATTATATAACCAATAGCAATCATAAAATAACATGTTGATAAATAAATAATTGAACGTTCCGGATATTGAAAACGATTTGAATCAACTAGAAATGTGATCATTATTAATAATGTTGATAGAATACATAATATAGACCATAAACTAAGCCAAAATGTTATAAATGTTTTATCAGATTGATTATTAAATGTTGGATAATAACATGATGGTAAACAATTTTTTATATGATCAGTCATAACTTCATTCAATGATGGTTTTATCCATTTTATAAATGGATCATAACATTTACATGGTAAACATAAATAGAGATTAAATAAATTTTGATTAGATTGAATTGATTTTTTATTGATTTCATTAGATTTTTTATTGATTTTTTGAGAATTTATATTTGTTGTTAAATATTCATGTAATTGATTTATTATTTCTGATGGTGGGATATTTGAATGATTTGAATATTGTTTATCATTTGATAAAGTTGGATTTATATATAAATGAATTTGTTTAATAAAATTAGATAATTCATTAGTTGATGATAGTTCTACACCTTTTCCAAGTATAATATCATTCATCTTATGATCATTATTATTAGTAGTAGTAGTAATAGTAGTATCTTTATGGATCATTCCAACTTGTTGTTCACCAGAAGGTAAAGATGATGATGATGCTGATGATGAAGATGTCACTTTTCTATTGTTTGGTGTATTACTTCGACTAACACATTCATTCTAAGAAAAAAATTTCAAAAAAACAAAACAAAAACAAACAACAGGTCATTACTTTATTGAAGAAGTACTGTGGTGTGTGCTACTTATATCTTGTAGTGTTGGTTATTATGTTAACCTCATATATCTTATTCTAGCATTTGGACAGCTTATTCTATTCATTCAACTTGAGTCACATTTTGACTTTGTTAATTATTCGCTTATCAATCTTGACTGTTTTTATATGAGCCCGGTAGGTGTGTGTACACTTCATATCTCATATCTAATCACATGTCTGTAACTTATTTTTGTGTGACTATAAATATTGATTAACGCTTCAGTAAATGGGAGTTGGCTTACCCTCCATCTCCACTGGGCGTCGTTTAGCTTCTCTCTATTCTATTCACTTCATATATGAAATATATGTATTCACAAGCCCATTCTCGTTATTTGACTTATTTAATTCCGTTATTGACTAACGCGATTTAAATCGATGGATTACATACGAGGATAGGCGATATATATATACTTTAACAACAATCATCATTACAATCTCATTGGAGTCAGATCTCGAGCCACTAAAGTGTAGAGCCTTTTCGACAACATCATTCAATCTAAATGACGATTAAATAACTGGCCTCCACAAACTGCATATAAGTAGTATACAACGATAATCGGGAATAGAATGTTTTTCAGTAGAAGATTGAAAAGGAAAGAATAGGAACAGAAATCAAATGGTATGACAATGTGGCAGTTATGAAACCGGAGACGATGAACTAAGACTTGCAAAACAAAAAACAGTCAAGTTTGGGACAATTGAATGATATTTTGCAAATGAAGTATTTACTGTATGATTCTTAGAGTTTAGTAAATTAATCTATAATTTTTGTATCCAAGTACGTTCGACTGTCTCCCCGCCCCCTTTCGTACTCTTGTTCACTACAGTCCAACTTTGTAGTTTCTCTTTAATATAAAACATCGATTTGATTATGGAGTTACATAATCAATTTAAGGATTATGTTTATTGATCATTCTTAAATTGAAGTAAATGACCAATTTAAATTATAACTTACACTACAATCAACAACATACTTTTCATCTTATTTTTCGCTCATTAGTAACAGTGTCCAAGAGGTATTTCCTGGAGCGCTAGTGAGAAACCGTGACCAGTGGAGTTCAACAGGGTCTGCTGTGAGATGGTAACTCACTGAAGACAATGATGGATGTGTCGCTCAATTTCGTGGATTAGTTAAAGTTAGAAATTACCACAATTACATGCCGAACTATTCAGTTTTCTAGTGGTTAAGCACTCGCTCGCGAGACTGATAAGTCCTGAGTTTAAATCTTGCGAGGTGGATCATGAATGCGCACTGCTGAGGAGCCTCATATTAGAACGGAACAGGCGTCCATGGTGGTCTAGCTTCAATCGACTCATGATCTGAACTATTAAATACACTATTTTTTGTTGATATTCATCATCTGGATAGATCTATTTCCTAATTGTTGATAATTACAATAACACTAGAGCTAAGTAATTATCACTATCCATATTATTATTTAATCCATCAATTCAATGAATCCAGATAATCTTGACATCCATCTGGTTATTTAATCCATTTAATCCATTTCAATGAATTTGAAAATTTAATTGTTGACATATTAAACCTGAGTAATATGCTGTTAGTCTGAAGAAGCATCTTATATTAATTTGCAAAACGTCAAAAATCTAATTTTCCACTCATCAACATATGACAAACATATTATTGATTTAATTATGGATGACAGTATGTTACAAAATGGTTAAGGTCAATATATATTCAAAGTTATATAATGTTAGCCTAGTTTCAATAGATGATATCCCTTTGAAATAATTTTAAAAAAGTTTTTTGCTTTTGCAAATCTATAAAGATCTTTCGTCAACAATTCTCAATGTAATTTCAATGGTTAAGAACATGAGTCAGTTGAAGCTAGACCAACATGGAAAACCTGGAAGCACTGGACGGCCTTTTCGTCCTATTGTGGGACTCCTCAGCAGTGCACATCAACGACCTCGTCCCCTGCGAGATTCAAACCCGGGACCGTATGGTTTCGCGCGAGAGCACTTAACCACTAGAACACTGAACCGTTCGGCATGTAATTTTGGTAATGTCTAACTTCAACTAACCCACGAATTTGAGCGACACATCCATCATTGTCTTCAGTGAGTTACTATCTCACAACAGACCTGCTTGAACTCCACCATTGAAATTAATATAATATCCACAAAACCCATCTGATATTAATTCCAAATGTATTGGATCCCATATAAATGAATAACAGAAATTTAGCGGGGGCGATTCTTTCACAAATTCATTTGAGATGGTGGAGAAGCTCGATGGAGATCAACAAGAACCAATCAACATCGAGGTCTACAGGACAAGTTGTGAAATATATATGAAGAAATTCGAACAATTCACTTCTACCTGGAGATTATGCTGATAATGTTGTTCAGAAGAACGATGAAAGCTCCAAAACCAAACCATCCTGATTCGAGAATAAAACTCCATTAAAAACAAATTATTTTACAATGTTTTCTTGGTTTTTTAAGTACCATTGATTATCCTATCTAAATTAATATACTCATAGGTAAATATAATCAAAAAATAAACATCAGGACTCAGTGGAAAAATGTAATAAAATGGACAACTTAGTTGTAACTAGACGATTTGGATTTCGCAGATGACCTAACTATCCTATACCAAACACACACACACTAAAAAATAAAAGTGAATATAGTGTCGTAACAGCCTTCACAGCAGTAAACTTACACACACACACAAGGCAACAAGAAGCAACATACATATATACAACACACACAACATCAGCACAATCACTCTCTATGCAGAAACTTTGCAACAGGTGGAAACTCTCATGTATCTGGTTAGCAACATCAATCAACAATGAGCATCCAATGCACACGTAAACGTAAGGATTGACAAAGTGAGAACAGCATTCATACACTTCAACAAAATATCCAATTCAAAACAACTATCTGCAAGCCAACATCAACATCACAATCTTCAATATGAATATCAACACACTTCTACTGTACAGAACTGAAACGTGCAGAACAATCACAACCACAAATATGTATAAGTGGTTATAAACAGTTGTCTAAGCAAAATACTCAACATCCGTTGACCGGATACTATCAACAACAGTTTATTGTGAGAGTGAATAAATCAGTTTCCATCTGAAGAGGAAATTAGGGAAAGAAACTACAGTTGTTATGTATGACATAGATTGTGGAAATGAACAGACTGCATCAAGAGACAAGCGATAACATGGAACCGTGACGATAAACAAGAAAGAGGAATACGAAGGAACATATTGAGTTGTGAATTGGAATGATAAATCAAAAGAATGGATAGCAATCGGAAGCAACTGTAAAGGAGTGAGGATGTCAAAGTTGATTGTAGATTGGTTGTGAATGGCCCAATGCTCCTCCACGAGGGTTAACATTTGTAAGGAAGTAAATAATATTTAGTTAAATCAATAAAATTTTTCTTTTTTTTTGATTGAGATCATAAATCGACACTATCACCACTGTATGCCGGCCCAGTGGTCCAGTAGGTTAACCGTTCACACTCGAAACCTAAGTCCCTGGGTTCGAATCCCGCAAGCGGTATCGTGAATGCGCACTAATGAGGAGTCCCACAATAGGACGAAACGGCTGTCCAGTGCTTCCAGGTTTCCATAGGTAGTCTAACATCAATCGATTCATGATCTCAATCAAAAACTTAATCTCCACAACCCCATATACTAAAACTTTTCTTAATATAAACATCATCATTCTCAATATTGATAGATAGATATTTCGTCTCATCAAAACGAAGTATATCTGATTCATTTTTAAGTATTAATCATTAAAATAACTGAGTCATTTGAATTTATCTTTAGGCTAATTTGTACCCTGCTGTGTAAAGAAAAGAAACAAGTCGTCTAAGAAACGGATACAAACAAAATGGAAACCTTTTTTTTTCTTTTTTTTTCTTTTTCTTTGTGTTTTATTCCATTGATGAATAGATCTATAATTGAATCAATGATTTGTAATTGTAAATAGATTATCACTTGTTATTGTTTACTTGTATCATCTAAATAGAACAAAAACGTACATCTTGGATTCTCTTAATAGTGATTATCTATCTTTTTGTTTTGTTTTGAAAACAGCTTTATTCATTTAAATGATAGAAGTAGTTATAAACATTGATTTACTCAAGATATTCAACATTCATTGTCTGGATACTATTAACAATAGTCTATTATGAGAGTGAGCAAATTAGCTTACATGTGAAGATGAAATTGTGAAAAGATTCTGGATATGGATAAGATATACATAACATCCACTCTTTGTATTCTTCCGAATTCTAATCTTCTGAATTCTTCATGTCCCTTTCCTTTTTTTCTCTTGCCAAACTTATTTCACTGGATTATACTCTTTGAATAACATCTCGTTTTTCTTGTCTTTCAAAACAGAGAATTTACGAGGACACTCCAAAAATGTTCAAAAGCCCAGAACAAATTATTTGTCAGCTGACTATCGACTTTTCCATCAAATCATCAACGAGTGGAATTCATTACTTCAGCATGTAATCGAGGCTCCATCCGTCGATTCTTGGATCAACTGAGAGACCACTATTGCCAGGACTAACACAGGCCATCAAGCCTCCTGTCCTTCCTAAACTGAAACTGAAACCCTAATGTTTCCGATTATTGCTTATACTATTACTACCTCTACCACTATGGGCTTTGAATTGATAACTGCATCTGTGTACTAATGTGGTATGGCAACTTGAATTGATGTACGTACGTATGATGTTCTACATTGTTACTGAATGACTGACTGACTGACTTATTAACCATATAAATGGATAAACATTTCTATCTAATCAAAGAGATTGTTACTATCTAAATTATTCAAGATACTGATAATCCATATAAAAATGGAAATGTTATTATGATTGACACATCGAAACTAATGATTGAGATAGAATGCCACTGATAAATTTACAATATGGTTATATTATGATAATGAACTATGTTTGATATCATGAAAACAATCAAAACAAGAGATCTATAACATAGATTTCATGTAAAGTAGCTGGAAATAATCGATCAAAGACTTCCATGTACCTATAAAAATTTTTGCTCTAGTTGTCAGAAGGGGCATCGGCCTCGTGGCTTCCGAAGGAACTCGGCTTTCACCATGAAGCGTCATAATTCTTCTAACTGAAGACCTTCTAACTCCCAGAGCAGAGTTAAAATGGTTTGGATTATTTTTTCTGGTAAGCGTTTTTTTAGCGAGTTAGTTTTCTACGGGATAGGGGCGCTAACCCCATGCCCAACCCTCCTCCTTTACCCGGGCTTGGGACCGGCAGTAACCCTATTAGAGCTACAGGCGTTTATCGATCAAAGACCCTTAGATTATTTTTAGTAATAAGATAAACATGAAATCTTTAGGGAATTAACTCTTTCCATGTGACTTGAATTCATATTACCGAGTTTTATAGTATAAGATGTTGTCAGTGAGTTATTTACGTTACAGCTGACTTCTTACAGTCACTGATGAATGAATGATATCATGTTTTTCTATTCTTTTAACGCTGTTTAGACTCTATATAGTGGCTATTTCAGTAGTTACATATGAACCGGATTGTTAAGATTTGATCAATAGTAAAGACTAGACAAACCTAATAATAATCACCACCTAATTATCAGTCAATTCAAACCTAGAATTCATTGTACGTAAATCATATCAAAATGAAGGTAAACATAATGAGAGCAACATACTTGAAATCCTCAAAACCAAAGGAGAAGAGAAAGAACATTACGCCAAGAAATGGAGACAGACATGAGAATAATGAACAAAAAATTGGATAGAACTGGAAAGGAAATCCTAGGACGGTTGCCTATGCTCCATTGGGAGTAACAGGCGTAAGTAAGTATGTCAGTAAGTAAGAAGTCTTCCATGACTATTCACATTATAAGATGATCCTAGATCCCATTTCTGGAAGATTAAGGAGTGCTAGGATGATACATTTATTCAGATCTACATGTCTATAAATGTCTTTCCATTATTACTATTATTATTATTATTATTATTAAGATCTCCACCCAAAATTCAATGTTTAGTACCATATGGAAATCTCTGCATACACTATTTCAACAAGTTTCACTTACTCTTCTTATATCATAAAGTAACAATCGTAAACTATTTGTACATGTACATGAATGAGTAACTAATGTATCTGGAATTATATGAAATGTCTTCTTTTTTAGTGAAACAAGAATCAGTATAACCTTTAATTAGCAACATGTTTAAGGGTACATGCTATTGGCTAGGTCAGCTCTTACAAACTAGTGTATTTACAAGATAAGGTATTGCAGAGCTTTACTTAAATGTATAGATTCCAATGTATTGGCATTTCGCTCTGTCAAAAGATAACAAAGAAAAAAAAGATGTAAATGAAGTTGATGGTTGGTATCTACTAAGTGAACACCTATCAGCTAATTTCATTCAACGAAGGAAAAAAACCTCAACTTATAAAAAAATATGCTCATGTTAATAAACGGACAAACTATTTAGGCTACAATTACTAAACTTGAACACATAAACAAAGGTACAAGCAGGCACCGAATAGATATGCGCCACATAAATCATTCGATTTATGTGGGATACTTCCCGAGTGCCCAAATGGAATTAGGTGGTTTTCTTAGAGGACCGCACCCGAAGCCTTTGAATAAAAGGTTTGATCCACAAGGCAATGAAACAACGTCAGGAGATGTAGTCCCATGGTAGCTGGTGACCAACGATTGGTTCACAAGCCATTTGTTCCTTCAGGATCCTGGAGTTCATATGCACCCTTTGTTTGGAATCAGGGTTTCCCACCTCCCCTAGGTGAACTCTCCGTGTCCACAAACCTGGTTAAAGCACTGAACATTCGCTTTTTGTCTTCTCAATTTCATAAACAACAATAGTTTCTCAAGAGGGTAATAAGTAGGACTTCCCTGGCAGTGGTTGTGTGTATGTGGCCATGTGAGTGCATTTCGAAAGAAAAAGCTGACTCTCCCCACTCTTGGTTGTGCCAGAGCGTTTAGGGGCCAGCCTAATCCAAAGTAATTGCTGAGCATTAATAAACAAAATGTATTATGACATAATACTTTTTTTAAGAAAAAAAAGTTAATCTACTTACTCCTTCTGGTAGAAGATCACAATTCATCCTTTCAGGCCAACCAAATCCATAAGTACGCATAACTGGCATACATCCATCACGTGCACTTTCACATAATGATTTGCATGCAGTTAAACGATAATGCCAATTTGGTAAACAAATTGGTGTATACATACTACATAAAAATAATCTTAAATCATCTGAACAATTAATTTCAACCAAAGGATAGAATTGATGAACCTTTGAAAATAAAAAAAAGAAGAAAATAACATTCGAAATTATCATGTTGTAATTGTTAAAATTATTGATTCAGATTATGAATTGATCAATGTTAAACAACCATTGGAAACCTGGAAGCATTAGACAGTTGCTTCATCCTAGTAATGGGATTCCTCATCAGTGATTATCCACGATCCCACACAGGAAACTCGAACCCAGGATATTTTGGTCTTGCACGTGAACACTTCTAGACAACTGTGCCAGTATCCAATAGTGTTAATGTTTAATCTCAAACAATCCATAATATTGCGCGACTATTTTCCACTGTCTTAAGTGGATAACTGCATCACACCCAACATAGATTAGTTACTCTGGTTATGACTTCTCAATAGAACTCCGAAAATCATTTCTCGAAGCTAATAGCTAATGAGCACATGATAATTATCAGTGATGTTGTAGAGACTGATATTAACAAAGGGAACTAACATTTCAATATTTTAATGATCTCAGAACCAACACTAAGGAAGAGTCATTTGTTTAATTATAACGAGTCGTCAGTAATTCTCCAGTTAATCTCAATTAACATACTTCTATTAAGATTAATCTAAACAAAAAGAAACTGTAAACTCTGATTGAAAGTTATGTACATTAAACCACAGCCTATAATTTCAAATTTCACACACACACAAAACCTTTCTAGTGCTCATATTTAGCTATCAGAATACTATGAAACTCAATAGAATTAAAGAAAACATATTTGAAAGGGGTTTTCATGGGTATTATGGTAATGTTAATAGTTGAGATCATGAGTTGATTGAAGCTAGACTACTATGAAAAACCTGAAAGCACTGAACGGCTGTGGATTGGTTGAAGTTAGACATAATACCATTGGATAACGGCTCAGTGGTCGAGTGTTTAAACGCTCACCCGCGAGACTGATAGGTTATTAGTTTGAATCTTGCAAGGCGGTATCGTGCATGAGCACTGCTGAGGAGTCTCATACTAGGACAAAATGGCCATGCAGTGATTCCAGGTTTTTCATGGTGATCTAGCTTCAATTGACTCATGAATTTAACCATTAAATTTTACGTGAGATCAGACTGCTTGTCTACAATCGCAAACGACAGAGGTAAAAAGAAATACTTCACATTTATTTTCGTATCTATTACTTTAATTTTCCCATTGATGTTTAGAACTACAACTTGTCAGTCACTTATTGGCATGTATGCATCTTGAGCGGATTGCCTCGATGTAGTCTTAATTTACAAGTATTATAAGCTGAGATGATAGTGGCTAGCAGTGGAGTCCAGGATAAGCGTTTCAGCTTGCATCCCATAGTCCCGGAGTGAACATCAATTCTGGGGTGTGATAAGTCTCAAACAGAACAAAACGCGTATCCTAGATCCCACTGTTAGCCACTATCCATGTCATATTTCTATCAATTTTGTTGATGTAGCATGATCTATAATTAATTTGAATATTATGCATCTGATGGTGTGAATTTTTTCCTTAAAAAATTACTCAGACAAATAGCAGATTTCCATGAACTATAAAAACAGTAATTAAACGGTACATAGAGGTTTAAATTTTCTGTCCATCGATATTCTATAGTGATCTATTTGTAACCTTAATGCATTACTTCCACAATACTTTCGGTCACAATTTCGTAAAATTGGTTTGTGCCTTAGTCGTATATGCTACACACCAGCTGAGTCAGCATGATCCCCAGTATTGATGTTCACACTTAGACTCGAACTTACTATCAATATCATTATTAGATAATAAGAGATACATTATAATTATAGATAGTCTGATTTCAATAAGAACTTGTAGATAGAATTCAAGTTAAAAACGTGCTGACACTAAGAAGAAATATTCATGAAGAGGAAGTTACCCCTTCGAAGGTAATGGAAGATGGTCGTGTAATATCGTGGATTGATTGAAGTTAGACATTAACAATGTTGAATGCCTACTCAGTGGTCTAGAAGTTAAAAGTTCGCGCGTGAGACCGAAGGTCCCGTAATCAATATCTACACCCAAAACAGTGGATACGCACAGATGATTAGTCCCACACTAGGATGAGATGGCCGTTCAGTACTTTCAGGTTTTCAATAATTGTCTAGCATTGATCGATTCATAATCTTAATGAAACTCAACAATCTCCACTAACCTATACTAAGAAAGATGAATAGATTTCGATAAGAGATATTCATATTATTATCAATATTAATTGAATAATTGTCATTGATTATAGTAAACTATCAATCTAAGTATTGATAAATCTAAGTATGATTGAATTAAATGAAAGAATTAAAACATTCATCTGTTACAATTGATCATAGTCATAGTTATTGTATTAATGGTAATAGAAGTTTATAAAGAATCCAATCTAGAGAACACATATGTGCCTTTCAGAATATTCAGAATATTCCATGTTTATTTACTCTGATAAAAGCCATGACCATATGTAATTAGTTAGTTAGTTAGTTAGTTAGTTAGTTATTCTGTTAATCAGTTTTCATACATATGTCTTTGTTTATGCAGATGACTTTTCTATGTATATTTACGTTAATCCGTATACATTCCATGTGTTTGTTTAATATGTGGTTTATGGACAAATATGATTACATTTGTAACTATCGGATGAATACTTTTTTTTAAAATTACATTCTTCAAATTGTATTTTGGTATGTTACTTTCACCCTCTTAGTGAACAGATACCTTTAGGGCACACCCTCCCCCCTTCCCCCCCCAAAAAAAAACAGAAAAGCCAAGTAGTGTAGACAGAAAAACTTGAAGATATTGGTGTGGTTATTGTTGTTATTACTGTAATCAGTACAATAGTAGATATAATGCAAAGAATACATTAGAACAAGGTGTATTTCAACATACGTCTATACTTTAAACCTTTAATTGGTCTAGAGATTGTATCAAATTTCGAATGAATCAATTAATGATTACAATTGGTGAGTAATGTAACTAGATTGTTTTGTCCTGCACCACTCTACAGTTACGGTACTCTAATGGATGCATTTGATTTATGGTAATTCTGAAATACATATTTCACGAGTTGAACATGTTGGAAGTAGCTCATATAGCAGTATTATCGTCATAAACAATGACTGTTACCACTCGTGAAGAAAGCATGAGGCCATCCACAACCAATCTACAATCAACTTTGACATCCTCACTCCTTTACAGTTGTTTCAAATTGCTATCCATTCTTTTGATTTATCATTCCAATTCACAACTCAATATGTTCCTTCGTATTCCTCTTTCTTGTTTATCGTCACGGTTCCATGTTATCGCTTGTCTCTTGATGCAGTCTGTTCATTTCCACAATCTATGTCATACATAACAACTGTAGTTTCTTTCCCTAATTTCCTCTTCAGATGGAAACTGATTTATTCACTCTCACAGTAAACTGTTGTTGATAGTATCCGGTCAACGAGTGTTGAGTATTTTGCTTAGACAACTGTTTATAACCACTTATACATATTTGTGGTTGTGATTGTTCTGCACGTTTCAGTTCTGTACAGTAGAAGTGTGTTGATATTCATATTGAAGATTGTGATGTTGATGTTGGCTTGCAGATAGTTGTTTTGAATTGGATATTTTGTTGAAGTGTATGAATGCTGTTCTCACTTTGTCAATCCTTATGTTTATGTGTGCATTGGATGCTCATTGTTGATCGATGAAAACTTTTCAATCTGATGTTGAGTATCTGTAAAGAACGCTAACAATCTAAACCAAACTGAGATTCTAGATATCTTAAGGTTGATTATTTTCAACTATTACACATCAAATTGAAATACTTTCCGATAGTGACTAATTTATCTCACTATTGAAGAAGTACCATTGCATAAGTAAACTTTTGTTAATCCGGAGTAGTAGTTATATAATATACCAATGTTAGCCAAAGTAATTTTACATCGGTTTTCAGAAGGACTAGACACCATTCAGACTTCCACGTGACAACCCAAACAGTACAGCTCAATCCCGCTTTACAGGAGAGCCAGACACCATATAGGCTTTAACGCTACAATCTGAATAGTACAGCTCAATCCTGTGGCGCAACCACACAGGTACCAAGCACCCTGGTGAACCATTCGCACCATTCATATACACATCCACATCACATGTACAGTTATTCCGATCAATAATCTCGTTAGTTAATTATGCACAGCACGAACAGGCCAAAGTTGACCTATTCCGCTTACACGACAGTCAAACTCATGAATGTTAACAATGGCAATATGCTTTACAATATCCCAATAATCACCAGTGTATGAATGAAATCGGTTAACTAGCAAATCAATTTTGTGCTTGAATAGTCAGCAAAACTTGCCAAAATAATATCGAACCATCTACAATATCAATAGCGAACCTCCAGTTTCATATTGAAACCTTTAGTTCTACATAGTTATCATCAATCCAGATTAATACATATTTATCAAATGACAATTTAGCTAACAGTCACAATGATCTACATAATCATTCAGTTTATGAAATTTATTCTACAATTAAATATTTTTCTGGTTGAGATCATCAGTCAATTGATGTTAGACCACCGTTGGAAACCTGGAAGCACTGGACGGCTGTTTCGTCCTAGTATGGGACTCCTCAGCAGTGCGCATCCACGATCCCGCACCCCGCGGGATTCGAACCCAGGACCTACTGGCTTCGCGCCTGAGCACTTAACCATTAGACCACTGACCCGGCATCCCGCGGGGTGCGGGATCGTGGATGCGCACTGCTGAGGAGTCCCATACTAGGACGAAACAGCCGTCCAGTGCTTCCAGGTTTCCAACGGTGGTCTAACATCAATTGACTCATGATCTCAACCAAAAACTTAACAATCTCCACAACCCCCATACTGATAATTAAATATTTAATTTCAAAATTATAATTACTTACAACGATCTTATTCTTCTTTTGCTACTTCATCTTCTTTTAGAATCTCCTTAAAAAAACCTGCTGTGAATCTACACTAGTGATTAATTTTGTACTGTCCAGAGATTGGTATTTTTATATAGTTATATATACACACTTATATATCAGAGGTCATTTTGACGACCTGCTGTGTACAATAAAATAATAACTTCATATTTCTTCCCTTTACTGATTTAATCGTATTCGTTGGAATGCTGGTTATTCATAAATAGTGATAATTGATAGTTAAAAACCACGTACCAACTTAAATGTCACTCATTCATAAAGAGAGACATTATAATTTATGCATATATACATAGAGCTTAAATATGTATCCATATGTATGTTTGTGTGTGTATAGGTAACGGGTGCATTTAATGAAAAAAAATTTTCTTCACTTTTTCCTCTATAACTCTGGTTTCTTCTAATCCTCACCCTTTTTACCTAGTTGAACAATGCGACCTTCTACTTATCTCTTACATTGTGCTTAACTATCTTATAACCCCTGCTAAGTTGTTGCGTGCTTTTAATAAACTAAGATGATTAACTATTTAACTAAGAGTAACTATGTCTAATATTACTGATTGTGATTATGTAATAAATTGGTCCAGTAAATCATTATAATTCATTACTATTATTAATGATTCGTTAAGTAATAAGTTAAATCACTAATCATTTATGCATTCATTAAATATGAGAATTAAATAAAGCGGCAAATAAATTGAAATATTTCCCAATTACTTTTATATATTGTATAAATTATTATACTACTAGTACTACTGTGGTGTCCCGACCGTTGTTGCTACCTTGACGTGGTGGTCGGCTTGCCTATCGTGATGAAGCAACCGAGCTATACTGGCTGGAACAACCGTTCCTCAAGGTCCTACCATGTCAAACAGGTCGGTTGAAGAACGGTAAGACTAATAGCAACAAACCCAAGGTCCGTAGGCGAAGTAGTACTGCTGACTGTACAGAGGTGTGACAGCAGTAAAGTGTTTCCTTCAGACAACCAGCATGACAGCGATGCTGCCTTCCCGCAAGGAAGGGTGGGGTTAGAAAAGGTCGACCCTAAAAATGCACACCTCGCCTTATCCCACGGATATCCGTCTCCGGCGATAAGGTCTCAACAATCACGGAGCTAACACAAAAATTACCCATTGAGATTTAGATGGTGGTTGGAGGTAGTCAACAGGAAACCCTGGACCCGGGTTTCGTGCTACTTGGCACTCGTCAGCAAGGTGTACCTGTAATCTTGAGGGAACTGGTGCTCCCTGGCGGATTCGATCTCGTGTCACCCAGCTTCACAGTCAGAGACGTTACCACTGAGCTATCCGAGCCGTGACTAACCTCCTGTAGGACTGAGATGTAATCACAATTGATTGATCACTGGGTGGTGATCAATCTCATGCTTGTCTAGTCCTTATTAGTGCAGATCGAATGCTATCGATCATGTTGCAATGTGGCCACCAGTCTAGGTGACTCGACACTGCGGGCACTATGTATTGAGATTAGATGGTGGTTGGAGGTAGTCAACAGGAAACCCTGGACCCGGGTTTCGTGCTACTTGGCACTCGTCAAAGACGTTACCACTGAGCTATCCGAGCCGTGACTAACCTCCTGTAGGACTGAGATGTAATCACAATTGATTGATCACTGGGTGGTGATCAATGTCATGCTTGTCTAGTCCTTATTAGTGCAGATCGAATGCTATCGATCATGTTGCAATGTGGCCACTAGTCTAGGTGACTCGACACTGCGGGCACTATGTATTGAGATTAGATGGTGGTTGGAGGTAGTCAACAGGAAACCCTGGACACGGGTTTCGTGCCAAGTAGCACGATATCCACTTAGCTACTGAGTTCTGATAGACACTTGCTTGTTCAATGGGGTGCACATCAAGTCTGAGATGCAGATAAATCTAGCTGACAAGTCCCAAATAGGACGAAACGCGCGTCAAACTAGAGTCCGTTTCTAGCTACAATCCATCTTTACTTATAATGCTTGTGAATGAAGGCAATATCGACGTAATCTGTTCAGGATGCATATATGCCACTAGGAGAGAGACTTATCAATTGTAGTCTTAATGATCAATCAGAAGATTTAAGTAAACAATACCAAGTGAATTTAAAGCTAGTACCTGGTTTTAATATGACAATAATGTTTTGGGACGTGAGCTGCACTCAAACATTCAATCCTAATGTTTACAACCTTTCATTATGTATATACTCAGTATCAATAAAAGAAAGTGCCATATTTATATCCGATAGCTCCTTGGAACTTCTAAAAAATGGACTACAGCACATTTTTTTAGTAAAGATGAATAGTGGTTAGAAGTGGGATTCAAAACACCCAGGTCGTCTTATTTAGGACTCAGCAGTTGAATATATCTCAAACTAAATGTTGATGTTCGCACCTAAACCCGTGCCTAATAGCTTTTACTTTGAACGCTTAATGATTTATTTATTGAAAAAACTAAGTCCAGATAATCATCAGGGTTTCACAGAACAATACAGATTGTATAAATCAAATCCTACCTTACTGCAAATTCTATACTTTACGTTCATATACTGTATTGGATATAAAAATTGGCTATCATAAGTTTTTCATTGGCTTTTTTTTCATCAAACTTGAATATAATTTAATTAAAAAAAACGAGTCCCAGAGTGTACATCAACTCTGAGATGCACGGAAAGCTGGCTGACGAGTCCCAAATAGGACGAAACGTGCATCAAACTGGATTCCAGCGCTAATCGCTATATATCTTTGCCTTAGAATTCCTGTGAATTGAGGCAATATCAAGGCGATGAGCACAGTAAGTATATATGCCAATAAGAGACTGATCAATTGCAGTTCTATGCATTAAGTAAACAATATCAAGTGAATTTAATTTTATTGTGTGTTAAGCATCAAAAATTTCTCAGTCAGTATAAATATCTGAGTATTACAAGATATCAGTCGTGACCCAACTGAATAAATACTGACGTTTTAAATTTTTAAAGCTGTATGAAACGGTTTCGAATCCCACGGTAAGCATTATTTTCTTGAAGATTTCAAGTACTCCTTGATAACAATTGTCAACTAGCAATAAATCTGTATTCATAGCTTTCTACCAACTTAAGTCAAACATAATAAATACAGTTCGAATAGAACAAATGGAAAGTATGATTTGATACTAAGTTAAAGAATCGCTGTAAGATTAAGCCTAATGAACGTTATCACTTTATTGTATTTGACTTTGCATAGTACAACCTGAAATGTCTAGTCGTAGGTTACTGTTAAGTTTACAAACACTTGTTCATGCATATGTTTTAGATAATGTATCATTTAGTTATGTGAACAACTGAATTGTTCTCAATTATTCTCATTTTCTAGTGACGGACCATCTAACATTTCTCTTTCTTTCCCACCTCTAAATACATTCTGGATCAAGTTCACTTTCGTGTTGAATAAAACAAAGTTAACATAGATTACGGGACTAGTTATTAAAAGAGTCATAGATCAAGAAGTCTCTTACGAATTTACACAAAGTGAGAACAGAAATGTTTGCAAAAACATACGAGGAATTTATGACATTTCGTTGTATGTTGAAAGAGCCAAATTAAGCAAAGTTCATAGAACTATTAGTTAAAATGTAACAATGCTATATTCACCAGTGATATATGCCAGTTTACATGCCTATGAATAAATAGGTTCATTGAAAGAACAAGAATCTTAGTAAACATCTAAAATGGCCATATTTATAGATTAACTGAATTGCGATTACTAGAAAAATGACCTACGATTTATGTAATGTAAGCCATTGATGAGGTTAAAAGTTTATCATATATTTCTTGGTTATCCACCGTCTTTAAAGTTTTATCTATGATCATGAATCAACCCGAATTGATCCATCATTGGAAAACTAAAAGCACTGAACAGACGTTTCGTCGTAATACAGAACTATTCGGTAGTGTTCATCCATAACCTTACAACCGTTAATAGAACCCAAGAACTGCAGTCTAGAGTAAGAACGCTTAATCAATGGACCGCTAAGCCAACATTTAACGATATGCAGATCTTACTTCAACCAACCCATGATAGTACACTCACATGTTCCATTTTTTTCAACTGGTAACTTCTTTACATTCAACACAGTTAAACTCCATTCGTACCAACTTCTCACTAGAAATTCGAAAATTCTCAAAGCTAGTCGCTAGTGATCAAACAACAATTGTCAATATAAGGATGTGAATATTGTTGAACTTCATTAGGATAATAAACCGATCTAACTTAGACAAACATCAAAAACGAGGATCTCAACTCAGTGATCTAGAGGTTAGGAGTTTGTGGGTGACTGAAGGTCCTGGGTTCGATACACAGTTGTGAGATTGTAGATGCACATCTCTGAGAAGCCCCAGACTAGAACGAAACGAATGTCCATCGTTTCCATATTTCCAATGGTTAGTTAAGAAAATCTAAGAAAGCAGAACGAGAACAAAGAATGATTAGTATGGAAATAAAAGAACCATAAAATCTAAAACGATTGATTAACATTGAAGCTAGACCACCATGGGAAATCTGGAAGCACTGGACGACCGTTCCGTCCCATTCCGAAACTCCTCAACACTACGCATCCACGATCCTGCCTCGCGGGGTTCGAACCAAGGGCCTATCAGTCTCGCGCCAGGCGCTTAACCACCGAGACCACTCAGTCGGCATCCAACGGTGTTAATGTCTAACTTCAACTAATCCACGAAATTGAGCGACACATCCACCATTGTCATCAGTGAGTTACTACCTCACAACAGACCCTGTTGAACTCCACAGGTCACTGCTTCTCACTAGAACTCCAGGATATATCTCTTGAAGACAGTCACTAGTGAGTATATGTTAATTCGTATCAGATAGGGTTTTGTGGAGATTGTAGTAATTTCAACACTTGAGATCATGAGTCAATTGAAGCTAGACCGCCATGGAAAACGTGAAAGCATTCAATTGTCCCCAATTGTATGTTTTTATTCAATACAATAATAGTTAATTGACATACAGAATTTATTTACAATTATACTTTATCATTCATTAACACTTTTATAATCCTATTAGCAATAAACAGTATGTTTCATCAGATACAAACCACATACCACGTATTATTATTATTATTATTGTTTTAATGGACTACATGCTGATTTACCCGCTTCAATACTCTTTTTAAACATAATTCATAACATTTCTTAATCAGTTATGAAACCAGTTCAAATCTATTCCTTTTCTTTCTCTTTTTGTTGTTGTTTCTCTCTTGTTTTTTTCTCTTTTTTTCCTCTTTTCGTTTCTTTTTTTCATCCATAATTAAACCATGTACAATTTAGTTCTTTTTAATGATAATTAAATTTTTTTTCTTTATATCCATTAATATTAATTGTATCCAATAGACCGAATGTATATACAATTCATTCATAGTAGGGTGTATAATCATTCACACAAAAAAAATAATAATAATGATGAATAGCAACTGGAAAGTATTGACTAGGACAAAGTTCTATGAAGAATCCTGGTGGGCGGACTATGCTCCACCTCAACGAAGAGGGTTACACACATGTAAGTAAGTAGATAAGTAAGTAAGGGTGTAGAGTAATAATAATTTCAAAAGTCATAATGTATATTATATAGAAAACATGTAGTTGGTATGTTAATTTACTTTTTCTCTATATACACTATCTTACATTGTAATGCATACACTCATTCATTCATTCAGTGTACATCCATCGAAGAAAAAAACAAAACAAAAAGAAAAAAAGAAAAGAAAATTACATTCGTAAATAGTTCAATTAATAATACACCATTTAATTATTTATCAGATAGATATGACTTAAAAAAAGAAAAAGAAGAAACAGAATTCCCAATGGGTTATATTCACACTCTAGGTGATCCACTATGTACAATCAAAGTAAAGAAGAATGTTTCATCTTGCTATTCATTGTACATGTAAATTTATTTATTAAATGTATTGGAAAAGAAAAGAAAAAACAAGGAGTAAAGAAAGAAAGAAAAAAAGGAAAAAAGAAAAGAAAAAAATGGTTTACCACACCTCATACAATTTTGTATGGATGGATACATACTTCACTTAGAATTCATTATAAATAATTCTCATCTAACTGTGAATGAATGAATGAATGAATGAAATTCTCTTCACTTCTTTTCTTTTTCTTTTATTCTTCTCTCAGATTGAATCAAGTTGCGAAATAAAAAAAGAAAAAACAACAACAACAACAAAAAACGATAATGGCAATAACAACAAACGTGTAAAATGTATCTCCTACTATGATTCACGAATAAGAAGAAGAAGAAGAAGAGGAACAACACCATAGGAGTTGAAGAAATTACACAGACATAAAATTCATTTTAAAAAGAGAAAAAACAAACAAAAAAGCACACACACTCACACACACACACGACCAAACCATTCAATTCTATGAAAGTCATTCACCAAACCTACAAATCTTCTTTACCATCTCAAATAAAACACTTTTTTTTCAATGATAATCCCTATCTATATTGTCAATTAAAATATAATAATACATAAAGATAATACTAAGTAAATAGATGAATATATGATTAGATTTATAGCAACTATTCTATAACCAATTTTCATTGCTTCAATAGTTGAAATCATGAGTCAATCGAAGCTAGACCACTGTGGAAAAACTTGAAAGCACTGTACGAGCGTTTTGTCCTATTGTAGGACTTCTCAGCAATACGCATCCACGATTCTGTGTACGGTTTCACATGCGAACTTTTAACCTCTAGACTAGTGAGCTGGCATCCAACAGTAATAATGTCAAGCTTTAAACCAATCCAAAAAATTGTACCACCATTCCTACTAGGACAATATAGCCATACAGCGCTTCTAGGGTTTTCATAATGGTCTAACTTTAATCCATTCATGAATTCAATTATTAACTAAAATATCATATTTTTTATAATAATCCTCATTTGTAAGTTAGAATACACAGTTTACTCAAATCGTTTTTGGTATCTACTTTGAAATTGCATGAGTACGTTTATTGTAGTTACCCTGAAAACTGGTCATATTTTGAATTATTATATGAATCTATTACAGATATAGAATTATAAACGAATTTAATGAGTAGTATATACTTCATTTAGAAATTTATATTGTTAATTAATTATTTACGAAACTTAGTATAATGCATAGAGTAGTTTCATGATGTATATTAAAAGAGGGGGGGGAATACAATGAGAGTTTGTATATCTATCATCGTTTCTATTCTTTGAAAAGAAAACATCTAATGCCTACATTGGAATATCTACATTGAATATTCTATCTATGCCAGGAGATATGTTGTAGTGGCATTATTGGTGTAGAACATTTGAAAATCAAGATGTATGACAATTAGTGAAAACTATGAAAACATAATAATAACTTCGAAAGTTTAGTGACTTCAACTATGAAAATACTAAAATCCACATAAATCCCTATAATGATAAAAACCATATGATTATTAGTGACTAGCTTCGTGAGGTAACTTTTGACGTTTAAGTAAGTTGTGACCAGTGAAGTCCAATCCGTGTCAGATGATCGCGTATTATTGCGGATTGTTTAAAGTTAGACATCAACATCGTTGGATGTTGGCTCAGTGGTCTATGTGTTAATCATTTTTGTGCGAAAATGAATGTCCTAAGTTTGAGTCCCGTGTGTAGGATCTTAGAGGAGGAGTGTCATACTAGGACGAAACAGCCATCTGATGCTTCCAGATTTTCTTTTGTAGTCTAACATTGATTGATTCATCATCTCAATTAAATATACAATTAGATCGATATTAATTTTGTAGATATTGAACAGATTGTATTTGAATATTACTGTGGTGGATGGTACTTATATTGACCAATATAAGTAGAATATAGCAGCAATTGCCGATGGAATGTTTGCCAACAAATGGTTGGATTGACAAGGACAGGTAAGGTAACAGACAATAATAAGAATAACAGCAGAATTGAAAGAATCAAACACAACTAATGGAAGATGTGTAAATTATGTATTTAATGTATGATTTTCATAGTTTAACAAAAGTACTCTTTAGTTTTACACTAAACAATAAATTATTTATCTCCATCCAAGTCTTCAACTCCGCCTGGAGCCCCTCCAGAGCTACTGACTGTCCCAAGCCTCAATAAAAGAGGATGATCGGGCATGGGTTAGCGGCCCCATCCAGTAGAAAACTAACTCGCCAAAAAAACGCTAACCAGAAAAAATTATTCAAACCATTTAGACTCTGCCCTGGGAGTTAGAAGGTCTTTATTTAGAAGGGTCATGAGGCCTCATGGTGAAAACCGAGTTCCTTCGGAAATCACGAGACTGATGCCCCTTCTGATAACCGGAGCAACCACTTATTTAAGTACATGAAACGCTCGTACAGTATGAAAGACCAGAAGAGTCTTCCGAATTGTTACATTGCAATTGCTGCATCCAAGTCTTCATTCACTATATTACTACAAATGTATTATACATTTATTCTTATTATGATTAGTATTGAATAACATTTGTTAATGAAACCTTTTGTTCACAGAAGAAGTAAAAAAGGAAAAAACAAAAAAAAGGAAAAATACAGCAACAGAAGTAATAAGACTAATGATTTATAATAGTAATACTTCATCCATTACAGTTGTCAATCAACTTACTTCAAGATTAAATTGAGTTAGAATTTAAGTATTTCCGTTTTTACCATCAATACTACTAATATTACTACTAATACTACTATTACTATTAGTATTACTACTACTACTACTACCATCAGTAATGATAATAATCATAACAATACTTTCCCTATTGGTAAAACTACATTAGTAAACGTACACTATTTATCATTTATTACATATAAACATAACATTCAATTGCCTTTAACTTGATTTATAAATAAGAATATGGATGAATACAACGAGTAGAACTGAAGATGTTGAATGAGACTAATAGTAAAGTTTTTTACCCTTCCTCTAACATTTCAATTTACATATTACATAGTGACAAAAAAAATTTGAAAAAATTGCATTTCTACCCGGTTACTTAAAATTGAATGATTCCACTCGACTTAATATTAGTTGGTGAGTTAGTTAGTGAGTTAGTTAAGTGGATTGAACTTCAACCCCCCCCGTCAATCTATTTATTCTTAACTAGACTAATCTAATTATTTATCTGATTAACTCTTAAAACGATAGAAATAAATATTGAATTGAATAGATCATAGAAATGAAATTGAAAATACAAATCTATAATAGAAATGATTTCGATTTTATGTATATATATGACAGTGAATTTTCATCGATTGAGATGGTTGGACCACATGTTACGTACGCCTGAACACCGACATACAATACTGACCAATGTTGGGGATGGTTGGAAGAAAGTTAGGGGTGGTCAAATCAAAACGTGTCATCAGTCCATGAAGTTACTAAACTCTGG